CTATGAAATTACTTAAAGAAGCATTCATTACTATACTTAAACCTATTGATCTGAACATTTACTAAATGATACTGCAGGTACTTAAGGGCATACGTTACAGTTACAGGGGAGGTAATGACGTTGCTAACGTAAAATGTTATTTTCGCGATGTCAAACTGTGACATATCGGGAAGGATGCATTTTTCGACTGATTTTTATCATTCAAACTGATTTAACTTTTAAACGAGTTCATGGACCCCTCTTTTTTAAAATGACATTCGGTCTGATTACGTATTAAGATTATTTGTACCAAATTTCATGAAAAAGTCAATGATGCAATTTTTTTAAATTTGATAAATAATACAGCAAAAAATTATGTTTTTTTCTACATTCATGAACCTTTGGTATATGTACAAAATGGCCCGTTTCTGTTATTCATTATTTTTGTTGTTTTAATACTATTGCAGTTTGAAAATTTCGTAATTCACATGGCTTCAGAAGGGGTCATAAACCTTAATAAGTCCACTGTTTAAATACAAATAGATAAAAAAAAATTCCAATTTTTTCCAAGTTTGAAATATTAAATACTTATAATCACATTTCTCTATTGTAGTTAATTTGAGAATATCAAATATTCATCTTTTAAAACAACATGCACATTTAGGTGCACATTTTCGCTGGGTTAGTCATTTTCTCACCCAGCGCTAAACTCGTGAGACAAACGTCGCCTCGGTTGTCTTGTGGAGGCGTCTTCACCTCGAGTGTCAGATGTCGTGGGTTCTGACCCCGGCCGGGTCAAACCAAAGACTTTAAAATTGGTATTTGCTGATTTTCCGTATCACGTTACATTAAGGGGCAAGATCAAAGACTAGTTGGGTCGGAGTCAGAATATATAGTGTCCAGTTAGGGTGATATGTCAGCACATTAAAAATAGTGACACAAACAACCCATGCATTAACACGATGTCCAGTAGTCAGCACTTCTGTGTAAACATGAATTCTCATTGATATGGTCAAATTAATAAATAAACTGTTGAGTAAAACTTTGAATTGATTGACAAACTACGAATTTTATATTCAGGAATAGATAACCTGATCTGTATTTGGCAAAACGTTCCGGAATCTTGGGCTTTTTATGATCTAATGACTTTTTTAATCGACCTTTTGTACAAAAACATCTCCGGTCCGCAGTTCGTTTAAATATTTCGATGATTCAATGAAAACTGACGATTTTTTTTCACCTTTTTTTAATTTTTAACTATGAGCGTACCTACGGCCCACTAAGATATTTGAACTGCATCAACATTTATAATCAAGGAATGTTAGGTTTAAATATTATCGTGGGCCGTAGGTACGCTCATAGTTTAAAATGCAGATAAAGATTTGGAAACTGCCATTTATCTGCCGTTTTCGCGAATCTTGAGGTGTTTACAGCAACAAAGCATGAATAATATCAGCTCAAGTTGACAAATCTATTGATGTTTACAAAAATATAGGTTTTAAACTTTAAAAATATAGTACTATAATTTATGGCATATCACTTTTAATTGGAATCGAAATCGGGGGCCGTTCTTTGATGCTTATCGTACCTAGCTTGTCCTTTTAGTTATTTCTAAACAAAATATTTCATAAATTTATAGGATACTGATATAAAAGAGAACTTATAAATAATTTAACAAAAAAACAGCTTGTGTTTATCTGTTTATCTTTTAAAACAAAAAAGTTATGCACATCTGTCGGGAGGAAAAATACGTCCACAAATCCAAATTTTGAGCAAATATCTGAAATTTTGACCTCATTTTACTCAAAAAGTAGCACATGAAGGTATATTTTTTATTACATATTTGATTTAAGCAGGTAAAAAATAGTCTATATATCTTAAAGGGAAAAATTCTCACCGTCAGAAATAAACTGTTGGATATGCCCTTAATTGCCACGGCAGGGACGTACATGTGAATATTTGTTAGCGAAAAGGCTCTGCTGGGTACATAATTAATACATCACCCGAGACAGAGATGATATAAGAAAATTATTGTTCATGTATGCCGCGTTTCCATTCCACTTGTTTTAAAGTTACCCCGCGGAGCCAGTGTGATAAAATCCACTAATATACCAGGCAAAACATATGAATATATAAAATGTAATAATATTAAAAAATGATTTGTTTTTCAATAAACTCGGATCATTAAAAAAGTTTGTTTTTTTTTTTTTCAAATTATCGCATTATACATTTCATTTCTATAAGTACTGATAAAAAAGGGCGGAGACTTTAGTGATGATAATTGACTAGATTCGTTAAACACGCCTTCCAACAGTAAGATATACAGTCTAATCAAAATAAATTATACAGCCTATGCTACTTTCGAGTTTTGACCCTTTAATGATGTGTTTGAAATAGTACAGCATATGCTACAATTTAAAAATATTGCATAGTCAATGTTTGTGATATAGCATATGCGAAAAAAATGCAGCATAACCAGACAAATATATATTGACCCTTTTGGGACGTCAAATATAGCTTATGCTACAAAGCAGCATAAGCTATATTTTATAGCTTATGCACCTCTTTTTACTTTTGACCTTTTCCGTACGCCATACAACTCTCCATCCAATTCATAATTTGTAAATGTAAACCATTAACGGTCAACGTACGGTCTTCAACACGGAGCCTTGGCGCAAACCGAACAGCAAGCTATAAAGGGCCCCCAAAAAATTAGTAGTGTAAAACCATTCAAACGGGAAAACCAACGGTGTATAATCTTTTTAAAAAAACTATATACTTGCATATAAATCCATATACAATGAAACGGTTTTTGAAAAGTGGACCGAACGTTTTGACCATCGAAATTTTGCAATAGAAATACTAGTTATGACCACAAGATTTTAACAGCCAGTGCAGTACTCGCACGAACGTTAGATTTAGTTAGAGGGGCGATATTCTGACGCGTTTTTTAATTCTTGGTCACCCATGTTTAGAAAGAAAGGGGAGAAATCCAAACAATTTCCGACCAATCACAAACGTTGTGGCAAATTTGACCTTATGACGTCAAAGAATTTCCCATAATGCAATTATTGTATATAAATAAAAAACTACTATACCAATTGAATAAAAAATATTGCATTCAAATGACATTTTATACCAATTGAATGAAAAATATTGCATTTGAATGAAAAGTATACCATTTGAATGAAAAATTATACCATTTGAATAAAAAATTATACCATTTGAATAAAAAATATTGCATTTAAATGAAAAAATATACCATTCAAATAATAAAATATTGCATTTAAATGAAGAAATATACCAATTAAATAAGAAATATTGCATTTAAATGAAAAATATCAAATTTTTGCAACCAATACCATGCCATAAACGAGCGGAATTCTTAATCTGAACTAATTATTTTATAAAGCTTTATCTGTATTGCGATAGCCTGTTTGTGAAAAAAATATACGATCTAATTTCAAATTTCATTTAGTAAGATTTATTCCCCCATTTGAAATACATTTGTTCTTGTAAAGTAATAAATTCGTCGAACGAGTTTGAAAAGGGTAATACAATTTGAAGAATGAATGTATCATCAACATTTCCCTTCATATAATTTTCACGAAGCAAGATTTAATTTGAGATCGACCAGTTCTTATATGTACATGTAGCTGTTGCTGTACATATCAAAATACGGTTTTCTTTCAAATAAGCAAATCTCATATATACATGGAGTATAAGATTTTTTTTCTTATTAGAATTGTTCTTGTCCAGTATTACAAGCCTGGGAGAGATTTCAATATGAAAATAAATTCTGAAAAATGAATTTATCACCGTTTTCCTCTCAGTTTCTGTCATTTGTCATATTTGGGCGTTTTTCAAAATAAGTTTTTTGTATCACATTTTCGTATCACACTCTGTACAGTGCGATACGAGAAATATCTCTACATGCAAGAAATATATAACAGGCCACGATCATAAGAGAGACTGTATAAAAATGCGTTAAAAAGGAGTTTTTTTCTCTCTCCATAATGGTAAAAATGCACTACGCATAAAAGTAAATTTAATAACATGAAACCGAATTCCGAAACAACTTAAATACATCTTATAACATGATATTCATAAGCAATAAGGATAATCCAATCAATTTTGTTGATTGGATAATTCACGGATGAGTAGTTGTGTAATCAGTGACACGTGCCCTTATTTTATAAAAATGATAAATATCTCTATAACTTCGTTTTCAAAATCTACCAAAATTTACCAATAAAACAAACAGTGTGCAAAGAATACACAAAACCGTCCTGTGTGCATATACGATAACTACAAAGAGTCCCGAGTGCACCTTTTAAGTCCTGAGTGCACTCAGGAGGTCCTGAGCAGTGTTTAGACGTACCCGTTTCAGACTGGTCGAGTAATAGTTCAGACTATTTCCAATAGCAAAGATAAAGGTCAAGTACAAATCAGTACAGTCGAGTATGGTTAAGACGGGGTCGAGTAATATTAAGTAAAATTCAGACCAATTCAGACTGGTCGAGTAAAAATCAGTACAGTCGAGTACAGATATAGGCCATTTCAGACTTTTAGTGGTTTGTAGTGCACTGATACAAATTCAAATATATAAAGTAGAAGATTGCATGCCTTAGTAACATTTGTAGCTCAAGTAACACTAATTCAAATTTGAATACAAAGCAGACGGCTACATGCCTTTATAACATGATTGTGTAGCTCAGGTAATACGTATACAAATTTGGAATATACAGTAGACGACTGCATGCCTCTGTAACACGTGTAGCTCAAGTAACACGTATACAAATTTAAAAATACAGTAGAAGATTGCATGGATTAGTAACATGAGTAGCCTAAGTAACACTTATACAAATTCAAATATATAGTACACGTTTGCATGCCTCAGTAACGTGATTGTGTAGCCCAAGTAACACTTATACAAATTTTAAATATATATACAATAGACGTTTGCATGCACCAGTAACACTTGTAGCTCAAGTAACAGTTGATACAAATGATTATTGTAGGTAGGCATTTGAAACCCCCAGTAACAATTATTGTCCATGCCACACTGATACAGATATTCAGACAAACACAGAAAGAAATAGATTCTGCCTTTGATATTTGGGATACTGATGGTGATGACCGTCTTAGCGAAAAAGAGGTACCATGTGTTTCATTATTGTCATACATAATTGTATGACTTCAGTCGTCTAGAAAATAAATATCTTCGTAATCACAAAAATATTAATTTTTTAACTTTTATTTGAAAGCAACAACATATTTCATAAAAAATGCAGCAAAAATAAAGCTAAAACATGTAATAATATGTATTGCACTAGAGCAAATAGACCTTAAAATTAGTGACGTCACAAGTGACGAAAAAATGTTTTGAACAGTTTTCTCAAGCGAAAGGTTATTGCATGACTATTGGTGAGTATTATCCATCGAAGACTAATATATTGCAAGTGCATGCTCGTGCAATAAAAGATCTACTCAGGATAATACTCAACAAATTTCATGCAATAAACTACACCAAAACTCCAAGGAAAATTTAAATCGGAAAGTCCTTTATCAAATGGCAAAATCAAAAGCTCAAACACATCAACCGAATGGAAAACAACTGTCATAATCCTGACTTGCACAGGCTTTTTCTCATGTAGAAAATGGTGGATTAAACCTGGTTTTATAACTAGCTAAACCTCCAACTTGTATGACAGTCGCATAAAATTCCATTATATTGACAACAATGTGCGAACAAAAAAAACAGACATAATAGGTAAAAATGTCAAAAATCGGGGTACAGCAGTCAACATAGTGTTATAATCTTAATCACTATAAAAACAAACAAATATGTCAACAAAGAAAAACAAAATGGCATATAGACAAAGCACATAAGCAAAACTGAAAGAAAAGCATACAAAAAATTACCACAGCACAACAACACAATGGCGGGATGCATATGGTGTTTAGGATTACAAAAAAAATCAAATTAGGACAGGCAATATAAATGACTAAAAGATTAAAAGAAGTTGATTCACAAAACAAAAGTTAAATTTGAGCAAAACGAATGATACAAGAACCAGGCATATAAACATATATAATATTTGAAACCATAATATAAGAGGTCCTGGATGGGGTTTACAAAATCGAAAATAATAGTAAAAACGTGCAGAATGATGGACAAACATAATAAAGAATAGAGAGAAATAGACAAGAGACATTGAATAGAGAAAGATGGGCTGCTAGAAAATGATCAATAGAGAATAATAGATCATGAAAATAAATAAAAAATAGAGGATAGAGAAAAATGATATAAAAAAAATTAACCATATGACGGTCCCCATCCAGACCCTCATATATGTAAGTGATTTACCTTTCCTAATAATTTTTCAGCTTTTGAATATATTTGAAGCATTTACACAAATAGCAGGAAAAGACCGTATTGGAAAAATAGACAAAATGCTTGATCAGTGGTTTGGTTTGCTCGATGGTGATCGTAATGGTTTTATAACCAAAGACGAATTTGTTAAAGCAGAAAGTACAGAAGCTGATCCCATATCTTCGGAGATGTTTCAAAATTTGGCAAAACGATACATATCCATGCTTAAAACAAGATCTTCTACAAGGGACAAGAAAATAAAGGACGAATTATAAAAAAATATTTTTTATTAAAATTCATTTTTGTGTCAGTAATATAACGTGATAAGTAGTGGTTCATCTATTGTAATACATTATTTTTGGTAATCAGACAGGTTTTGCAGTAAGACCCGACTTGTTTTAATTGGTTGTTTTTAGCAAAACGTTAACTTTACAACTCTATCCAATCGTTCAATGCTTTTGATAGATGAATAATTTAATTTTGGATGTAACACGTCTTCTGATTGGCTGAAAGCTTTTTGTCTATCAGCTCATAGATATAACTTTGTCATGTGACCGTGACGTCATTAACATTTTTTCTTGATTTACTCCTTAAAATGGAATTTAGAATTAAATCTTAAGGAATGACACTGTACTGTAAATTTTTTAATGTCTATTCGAAATAACCCAAAAAATGTGGTGCACACTTTAAAATAACCCGCTACACTGATTATTCAGTGTGCACCACATTTTTGATGTTATTCGTCATAGACAGAAAAAATATTACAGTCATTCCTTAAATGGATTAATGTTTAACTGCCGGTAGCAAAATTTAATATTAAATGCATATCAGGACGAGAACATGTTGACATACATTTAATGAATGCATGGCTATTATTTATTTTGAGTTTATTGAACCATAAAATTAATTTTTGACTCTTCACATATTAAATAATCCGCGAAGCCATTCAATATAAATAAATTTCTATCAAAAATAAGGCTCAAAGAGCTTTTTATATTATTTATATTAACAATAACAACGTACACACATGTTGGCGTATGAATACACAACGTCAGAGTGGGCGTGTCGCCATAAAAATTGACAACATTGAAAATAAAGGTAATACTTTTAACCAATCAGAAGACAGTAAATGCACCAAATTAATTTATTGTAATATGAATGTAAAACTAGCTTGCTTTGTACATGACCGACTTGCTGAAACCAATTTTAAAAGGTACACAATTAATATAAACCGTCAACAGGAAGACATATCATCCTTATCAGACACATTGTTTTGAGTCGAAGTCAACCTGCTCTTACTCCTAAATGCCACGTGTTTAGCAAAGAAACAGAAAATGCCAATTAATTTTCAAGTCTTTGGTCTGCCCCGACCGGGAATCGAACCCACAAACACCCGCAAGAAGCCTTCCGCGTGATAGCTAAAGGAAGTTCAATGCTTTGAAAAGGAAATATAAGAAATATAGACACAATTTAAAATTTTCTGGATGCATCGAATTCAGGAATCATAAGTCCGCACACCTGGACACGTTCACGCACTATACATGTAGACATCGTGTTAGGTTTGAAATTTGTTTAAATGTGCTCTCTCTCGTTGGGCACAATCCCGTCATCTTTGGTGGTAGTGGGGATTTTTTTCTCAGTAAAATTGTTTTAAAATTTAAATAAAGACATTTTGTCAATAACACACAGCAACATAAATTTCTTTTTTTTTTTAACAAATCTGTTTTATGTATTTAAAAAAAAAAACAAGCCAAAACCCCACACCATCCCATGCAAACACGCAAAAGACGAAATGTCGGTGATTTATGTTACTATGGTTCTGTTCCAAATACTATCTTTTCTTATACCTAAACCAAACCAATTGCTAAACCAAAAAATTCAATTACAAACAAGTGTTGCAGGATCTCAATATTGATGACTTCAAGTCTCAACCTCCTGATTGCTAGTTCCCCATTCATATTTAACCCGGCTGACCACGTTATTCAAATCGGCACTTAAAGTTAACCAGCGAGGGACGTTAACCACCGAGGGTAGTAATGAATATTCATCTTTACTGGATGATTGACATCGATGTAAATAAAAACATGAGTGTAATTGCCGATATTACAGTAACACTTGACATTAATGTGTACGTCCAATTGGAAATACGGTAGCGGAATACTAAGATAAGCATATGTTGATGTCGATGTCATGGTATGTCTACTTCCGAAATATTCGATACAAAAAATGTCTCTAATAACTTTTAAAGCGCACCAACTACTCTAGTTCGGAGACCACTGGCAGTTTTTTTTCCTTTCTTCTTTTTATTAAGAGAGATAGAGAACTCCCCAACCACGTCAAGTCGTATGCCAAAAACATGAAATATTATGCATTGAGATTTATGTTCAATCATCATCCTCATCGTAGCAAACTTCTCAAACAGTGTGATGAGAAAAATGGTTTCTACAATCATCACTCTCTGACAACAACAAATGCTTGTGCACGATAAATTCTCTTCTTTGCATACGCAAGATTCATTTCAAACAGGTTTGCCTGTTCATGTGCAAACAACGACCTTTAAAAAGTCACAGGACATTGGAGCTTCAAAATTTACTGGCACTATGGAGCTATTCCTCATTTTACATCCATATTCAAAAGGTGATATGGGTGGTGGTTTGAGGACATCAGTATTTATCCAGACGTACACTTGGAGTGAAACTCAAAGAATGTGTTGTCTGAATGATGCCTCTGAAGGAGGTAGTCTCACTAAGAATTCATCCCTAGATAGCGCTTACTTCACTCTGAGTTTATTGAGATCACAATGTACTGATTGAGCCCTGCCTCTGGGGGTCATATAGATCAGCGATGAATTGTGGTCCCAACGCAACAGCTGATGTTTCAATATCAAAACCAGCTAGATTTGACAAACTTTGATGCTTGTTTGAATTTTGATTCAACGCCTTATAAACCGTCTATTTGCCAACAAAGTGATCGGAGCACTACCCAAGCCATATCAGACACGTCATTTCTGCTGGTTGAACACAATTCAATTTGGCTGTATGGATCTGTGCATCTAGGCTGGCAAAATCTTTCGTTAGGCTTACAAAAAGGCAAACAAGACATGAGCACATTAGTTTTCTCGTCCAGAGCGAGGGATCTTTCTTTCTTCACTGAGCTTTATTTAGACTGTATGTAGGTCTGTCTGAAAAGTCGGTTGGTTGACAACCTGAAACACTGTTCGAGCCCTAGAATGGAATGTGTTTTTGCCGTCAATAGTTTCTGTATTAATAGAGATTTCCAATAAAATGACTTTACTCGACATAACCGACCTAACTCAACGTATTTCGTCCTATTGCATTGAAACATGACGGAGGAGAGCATACACTGCATGTACTTTTTGCTTTTTGAACACGCATTTTTTTGCTGATATAGACTTAATGTAAAAATCAATCCCAACTTCTTTTTTTAATCTTTAAATATTTTGTTATTAAATTTTGAATGATTTTATTGACAAAAATATTTTAATGGAATACTTAAGATATCAACTTGTAATCAAATACACCCATCATTTCTTGTCATTTCACTTGACCCATATTTCAGTTCTTCTCAAAATGTGAATTTTAAAAACTACCAAATAAAAATTTAGCATGAAAATATTAAAATAATGAAATCCGAAGCGAGAAGTTTATTTTTTTTTATTTTTTTATAAGTTTTAACGTTTAAAAAGTAGATTCCAACACACCCGAATGTAAAAGGTGTACGCGACTAACTTTAAAAAAAAATTCTATAATTTAATTCAAGATAATTTGACAGAAATTTATATCATTGATACATTTATCAAATAGTATTTTTTTAGTCTTCAACTATAATAATGCATTGGACGAGATTTTTGGTCCATGTATACCTAAACGTGCACTCGCAAATACATTTCCACGTTATCTATACACATGTTTAGTATAAAATCGTCTAATTTGTTTTTCTGCGTTGCTCCGCTCGGCAGTATAAATGCAATTATCGGGAACTATGCCCTCTTTCAAATATCTTGGATCCGGCCATAATCACAAATTGTATGGCACCAAAAAGAAATTAAACGATTGTCGTTTGACTTTGATAAATACGTTTTAAAAACAACAATGTTTGAACATTATTTTAGACATCTCGCACGAGATTTAAAAGTTTAAGACTACAAACTGAATTGGATTATTTCCTGGATTTAGAGCTCACTTAACACGGAAATGTGATACTGGCGTGTAATCTAATGGACACATATTCTCGTTTCTGATGTTTCTTTTAATATAAATATCCATTTATTTATCTATATATAATTCCACTAACAAATAATCATGTATCTTTTACTGATAAATTATCATCACATTTTATAAAAACTACATATAATCTGCTGTACAGTTATGAACCATTATAGTTCTACAGACACTCTGTGCTTTTGACATGACATAAGGTCTTGCTTTTCTAGAGTGTTATGTACTTTTTTACTTAATTTGTGATATGTACAAAAAAAAAAGAAGATGTAGTATGATTGCCAATTCGACAACTCTTCACAAGAGACCAAATGACAGAGAAATTAACAACTATAGGCAACCGTACGACCTTCAACAATGAGCAAAGCCCATACCGAATAGTCAGCTATAAGAGGCCACAAAATGACAAATGTAGAACAACTACAACTATAAAACTAATGGAGTTTATTTGGAAATACTATTAATTGCTGTTTTTGTGCTTCGTTTTAGTCGGACGAGTCAATCCCTTTCTTACTGTTTTAATTGTGAGGAGACATGATCATTTGATAAACATACTTCTATGATCTCTATTAGCTTTAACTTGTACATTTATAAAAACTATGTAGAAAAGAGATGCATGCGTAAAATAAGTTCTCGACATAAATTGGCTAAAATATCAGATAAGAATTTAGCCTCAAGCTATGATACTTACAAGCTATAATAAATACGACGAATATTTAGCCTCAAGCTATAATACTTATGACGATGATAATACTGATGTTTGTCTTATATCCAGCGACAAATATTACATATAAATTAAGGATGATGAAATGATAATGATAAATGATTATACCTTTTTGTACATGACCAACACTTGCAGTCGCATTTTTATATCCTAGGTAAATTAGCGTACCCGATACAAAGACACACTTGTCTTTCTTCGATTAAAACCAACACCTGCCCTTACTCGTGAATGCATCATGCTTGGTGGTGAAGCCAACAAATCCAGTCTTAAAATCATTCGATCAGGGGGTCCAACAAAGTAATTGAACCCGTAATCGAGGCTAACCTGCTACCAGTCAATCCCATATATAATA